AGCTCTTATAATGGCTACCCTAACCCAACCGTACCTGGTTATAACAGTACATGTGGGTGATATCACAAATTCGTCGGGTTTTGTTTTTCAAAATAATAAAAGGCCTTGCTACATATTAATGATTGTCTTGCCAATTTTGGCTTAGAGGTTAAAAAAATCATCTGAAACCCCGACATAAGTATAAAGTGTATAGCCAAAAACAAATAATACTAAGTAATTCAGAATACTGTTACTGAGAAACATAATTTCTCAAATCTAGGGCACTGGTGTGAATTCTGCTGAGTGATCACAATGAAGAGGTCAGTAGTAACCAGTGCCCAATAGTGACCAGAAGCTGATTTTTTAATGGTTATGCACTGACCTATGTGAAATGAGTTGCTGAGCAGTCCACATTACATAACACACCGAATCCCTTTACATCATTGTCAGAGCCAGCACAAGATCTCTGTACTCCTGAAATGCCACTTAAACCCTCAACACAGGGCTTAACCTGGACTTAAATGATGCACAGGCCTTATGCTTCCCTCAAAACAGAGGTGAATTTCACCGAGAGAGAGGAGGAGATGGAAACTGAACACAAAGATCCTTGGGGATGAGAAGGGCAGCCTGGGTAAATTTACATTATTTTTCTTTCCCACTGCTATGATTACTTGAGCAGTCTGGTACCTTTCACCAGTACTACTAATAATAATTAATGGAGATATCCCATCTCCTAGAACTGGAAGGGACCTTGAAAGGTCATTGAGTCCAGCCCCCTGCCTTCACTAGCAGGACCAAGTACTGATTTTGCCCCAGATCCCCAAGTGGCCACCTCAAGGACAGAACTCACAACCCTGGGTTTAGCAGGCCAATGCTCAAACCACTGAGCTATCCCTCCCCCCTACTCGATTAATTAAAAGAACAATTATTGTTTTGTAGGTAAATGCATTTGGCCTGGCAACTAATATGCCAAGTTTGAACTTCATCTGATATAAAATGGCAGCCACTAAACTTTGAAAATATAACATTGGTGAACAGTGCTCTAAAACTGTGAATAGCTGAACATGTTGGATGCTGGAGCAGGACGTTAAAGATTGGTTATGCCGCTGAGCTTTAAAAATAATTTGATTAAATAATTAAAAATAGTTAAATAATTAAAAATACTTTGAAAGTTTTGTATATAGTGCGTCTCCCAAGGATCTATAAGCGATAAATGTAATCCGATTGGCTGCACTGGCATTTAATAGTTTACAAAACATTATGTCCTTACGTAAACATCTACCCATGTATTGTGTAAATAACAAGCCAATTATGAAAATTAGTAAAAATAATGTGCATAATGTAAGTAGTTTCCTATGTGCATTGTAGCTATTAAGCAAAGTGAACATATCTGTAATTTCAAAGCGCTTTCTCCTCACCATATTAATTGACTCCAATTTCTTTACATAAAAACTTTCTACAAAAATCATTTTTTAAAAACAAATTAAGGCCTCGAGCATAATTAACTTCAGTGGGACTTCTGCTTAAAGTTAAGCATGAGTGTAAATCTTGGCGGGATAGGAACCGAACTGATTTTTTAAAAATAAATAAATTTGGGAGATAAAAAGAAATCCAAAATCCCTTCTTATCCATTTTCCTAGTCTCGAGCTTTACAAGGGCTTGAGCAATAGATTGGAGAAAGTGGGGGAGGAATAATCCACCTGAGATGAAAAATGGCATTCAACGACCAAGTTATAAATCTCTGAAATCAGAGTTTCTAAAAAGCGGAGACCAACCTCTAAGGGTTACCGTATAATGCATTCTAAAATGACCTAAGAATGCGTGTTAATCGGTATGTAGAAAACAAACAAACAATTAGATGAAACTCTGCTTCTCACCTGCACTCTGTAAACTTTTAGACCCAGCTGCTTGATACTATTAATGCAGCTTTTTTATCTAAACTTTTTTGTCAACATGCAGCAGGTGGTCTATTATATTTCGTATTTATTATTTTATTACAACCTCGTTTATGGCTGCAATCACAATAATCCCTGGCGTTTAGGGAGGATTTTACATCTGTTTTGTACCAACAGGGTTCCCGGAAATATTTATTTTGTGGGGACACTAGGGAAATATGAGCAATTCCAGTTTCTGGCAGTTGGAGAGAAATAAGGGAAAGGTTTGAAACTAAAAATAGTGGCGCGCTAAGTAGGTAAAGACAGCCCAGTTCCATTTCAGGGGACTGGGAAGTACACTCCCATCACAATATTTTGATCAATGCAGGGAAGCTGATGCCTAAAGCATTCAGATTCAATGTGAAATTCTATCTGCAAAGGTGCACGTTGGGAGGATTTCGGGGAGCTTTGGCGGAGCTGTGAAAAGAAGAGATCAGCTTGTCTTGCTTTAACCTACATTAGCCCGGAAGAATAGACCGAGTCCATATGGTAGATGCTGCCTGTGGATCTTCAGCACCAATGCGATGCCCTGTTCCTGCACGCCGTCCTGCTTGTGCCAGATGGTGCCTGGGCCAAGTGGCCATGCGTGGGGTGGCTCTGGTTAGCCTAATAAACCTCCAATACAAGTCAAAAATCAAAACACACACATACTAACATCTGCTAGAGCCTGCAGTACCCAGCTAGCCTTTCAATAGTGAATTAAAGAGCCCCACAGCCCTTCTGTTCCCCTAGGTTAGGCACTCATTACCATTTATCAAGCACTGATGTTATCTGGCCTCTCATTTTATTTAGTACCGAAGCTATTAGCATCAGATTTGATTTTGACAGTTGAAGCTGCTGCTGGCGAAGCGGAGCGCTGCTGGTCAGAGCGCTGCAGAATTCCGCGTTCATCAGGCGCTGGCACATTCCTCCTTCCGAGTTGTTTACTAGGCAATTTCATCCGGAGAGACAAAGGCTTGCCCTCTTGCAGCCCCTCTTATGTGCCTATGTAAGATACCTGATATATATCTCATCACAAATACGTCCTCCCTTTGCTTTGAGGTGCCTGATCAAACATTCTTCTGTAATCCTTGCACCATACCATAGCCAGAGAGTCCTCAGAGGACTAGAGTGTACACAAGGGGTTAAGGACCAAAAAAAAAAGGGGGGGGAAGAAGTCCGTCTATAGTTCACTGGTGCTATAGGAGAAAGCAGCTGCTGGACCACGCTCGACTGGGGACGAGAAGAGAACAACAGTCTTAGATGCTACAGGTGCGGTGTAAAGCGGCTCCACTCCTGCAGGGCTAGCCCTTCTACTTGGGGATGTTTGTGCTGAATCATCCCGGCCTCAATTCAAGAGTAAACGCCACGATTCGAATTTCAGCGTGTCTTTATTTTCAGTAGCTGACTCTAAATGCAGCAGAAATTTACGCCGGTTTTTGAGGCAAGCAATTTTTCAGCACCCACCTGGATACAGGAATTACAGTTCTGCCCATTCCAGGCAATTCAGCAACTCTCGGTTGCAGCTGGGCACGTCTAAATTGACGATTTGCCCCCCTCGAACATTTCAGATTTGTAATGTAGCAGTGATATTTCTTCACAAAAGTTCTATCCCCCTTCACCCCCCAAGTTTTGCTGTTCCAAGTCCCAAAGCTCTTCTAAAAACAAGTGACTTGATGAAAATCTAAGAATGAGGCTAAACAATCATCTCAGTTTAGATCGCATTTGCACATCTATTTATCGGTTTCCTCCCATCAAAATAAGCGAGGTTCCGGGCTTTTCAGAGAGAGTGGATTTGGGAGTTCGAATTGTATTGAAACACCTGTATATAAAAGTGTATAACGGATTGACAGAACATTTTCCAAATGATTGGACCAACTGGTTGTTATACAGGTGATCTGCAGCAGAAAGGGTTATAGCCTTATGAGCTAGGCCGTGGTGTAAAGGTGGCAAGACCTCATTATCATACAGCTGAAGGTTTATCTTCCCCCAACCCCCTCCTTTTAACAAGCTGAAATAAAAAGCCACATGAAAGGCCTTCTCTGTGCTTGGCTTTAATGAGGGACACGCGACCCAACAATAAGCACACATTGCAATCAGGCGGCTTTACTGACACACGCCAGCCTTACAACTAGCAGGGGACAACTCTTATCCCAAAAATAGCCACTAAAAATCTGTTTGACAAACTCTATAGTGATTTGCTAGGTTTGTCCCCAAAATAATCCAAGACGACCTTACATTTTCCCAGTTCCAGTTTGATTTAACTTTCCCTGAAGGTCTCCTTCACCTGTGTTTATCTTGTCAACATGAATGTGGCCGTGGGCAAACGGATTCCAGGCTTTTGAAGCAAAATGGCTTGCTTGATTTTGTAACCGATTTGCCAGCATTGTGACCTGTTACAGGACCCCCCTTTAAACGGTTAGGCAGAAATTAAAGACAGAACCAAATTGAGCTTGAGAGAGCAAATGAGAATGTGGATGGAGGTTTGTGGTTGTTTGTTTAATTTTTTCTGCTCCCGCTCTTGACTGTCTGGTGAATTTCCTTAATTGTGATTTAAAATAACTAAAAGAGCGAACTCAGATGCCCAGAGGCCTTCGGCACGTGTACCTCAAGATTAACATGTGTGATCCAGGAGGATAGGGAGAGGCAAAATTGCAGGAGTTTAGAGCGGTGACAAAATTTACAGTGTTTCAAGTTCTTATAAGCACGATTTTACTTTTACTTTCTACCTGCTATCACCACAAGTTGGCAAGGCAGGTAACTTCGTCACTAAAGGGCTGTACTACTTTGTGCAATGTTTGTTTTTAGCAATCGTTTGTCTCCGGGAGGAAATTGAAGCTGAATGGCGATAGGGTAAAATAAAAAACATATTTTTCATATTTTAGCCTCTATTGTTTGGCTACTTTTGGAAGCTTCTCTCCTTGGAAAAGCGTCTGATTTTCGATGGAAGTCTCCCCGTGTGAGTGCTGTAAATATCTCAACAGATGCTTGGCTTGTTAATCATCAGCTCGACTCCTTGGTGGTCAGTGCAGCAGCAGCAGCAGCAGGGTATTAATTCTGGATATGAGGGCTCTCCACAACATTTGGTTCTTTTTCCAGAAAGGAAAGATGAAAAAGGGGGAGGGATCGCCCGTGAGTCTGACTGACAGTTTACATAATGAGCTTGCGAGGACAAGAGGCAACTATATAAACAGCTCGAAGGGAAGCAAGTTTTCCATTTACTGAGCGCTGTTAGCTCCGGTGAAGGAGGAGCGGTTCAACACTAAACACTCCCCCTGTGCGTCTCTCACCAAATCCACTCGGCTTTGGAGTTTATAAAGGCGACTAAAGCAATCAGAGTTTGCTCGTTGGCTGCAGGATTAATTCCCAGAGGGGGATGGTTTAAACACCTGGATTATACCTTCCATTTTCTGCCGGTGCTTGAGGAATAATTGGAAGGACAGGGTGTTCTAGCTGAATTGCTGTGACGACTTTTTGTCTCAAGGAAGAAGCATTTACTTGGACCAATTGAGGAATATCGGAGGAAAATTAAACCCAATTCCCAGTAAAAGTGTGAAGCCTTGAATAACAGGAGGATGGCAGCTTTGCGCATCTTTGGCTTGACGTTTCTGTTAATGATTTTGCAGCAGGTAATCACGCATTGAAAAAAAAAGGGGGGGTTCACTGAATGAGTGGTCCTAAATGTAATTGGGTGATGGAAGCCAGTTGTATGGCAAAACCTGGGGTAAGCGCTGATGTGGCTCTTTTGTATGTCTCTTCTTTGTGCAGAGGGTGTCCGGCTCTGGCGTCTTCCAACTGGAGCTGCACGAGTTTGCGAATAGCCAGGGGTCCCTGGCTAGCGGAAAACCGTGTTCGCCCCACTGTAGGACCTTCTTTCGCGTCTGTCTGAAGCATTTTCAGGCAGTGGTCTCTCCGGGTTCCTGTACTTTCGGGAGCATCGTCACACCAGTCCTGGGAGTAAACTCCTTCAGCGTCAAAGAAACAGAGAGATTTGGAAGCCCCATTAAGTTACCCTTCAACTTCACGTGGCCGGTGAGATCCCACCTTAAACATGATTTAAATTTTATGGAGGGGGATAAAAGGTTAAACAGAGTGCGCTGTTAATCTTTAGTGAAAACAAACTACTTTCGTCCTTAGACTTATTTCCATAACTTCCTTGAAAAGAAGAAAGAGATGGAATATTACATCCAGTCTATAAGCATAGATGTCAGTATTACTTGAAGAAAGATGTACATACATGCAAGCTGGGAAAATTTGCATACAACAAAACGTGTGTGTGTGAGAGAGAGAGAGGGGTGGGTGGGTGGGGAGGGGTTGAGAGAAACCTTCTAACCATCAAAAGAGAAATAAAATGCCCTTGTCAATGAAAGACACGAGAAACGTTTTCCCAAGAGATGAAAACAGCCCTAAGGAAGCTCCGTTTCATTGACTCGGACAAAGTAATGCTATCTGCAATTAGATTAATTAAAATGTATATCTCCGACCTGGCAGCACTACGGTTTCCTTGTTTCACCCAATTGTTTCAGCTGCAAGGAAGACTCTGTGACAGACCAAAACCTTTTCTGATCAATCTAACTCAAGATCTCGCTTGTCTTACATTCTGTATCTTCCTCTCACTTATGTTTTGTTTCCATTCGCAGGGAACTTTCTCACTGATCATTGAAGCCTGGCATGCTCCTGCAAATTACCTTCCAGAAGGTGAATATGACACTGCACTTAGCAATCACGAGGGGGCGACCGTTTCCTAAAATTCGATACTTGTCTGTAAACTAATCCGAAATAGTTAACCTGTCAACGTCACTAGAAAAGTTTTAAAGTAAACTAAATTGACCTTATTGAATTCCGATGTTTATACTATAATCTCGGTGCTAGCTTTATCCTACAATCGGGAGCTATTCCCTAAATGATATCCATCAGGTTTGCTTTGATTTTGTCCCCTACCTAATCTCCAACACAATTGCGTTTCCTCCAGTTTATTTTTGGCGTGGGAAAGAAAGGAGCTCTTTGGTGAGAAAACTACAAGGCTGCCAAAAAGTCATGACTGCCTTTTCCTGTATTTTACACCTTTTTCAAATTCCGCCCTTTGGAAAAGGAATAATGGCTTTGGGATGTTTTTCTGACATAGAGGAAAAGGATATTTCAACAGCACAACTGTTCTCACTTTGAAAAGCTTTCTGCAAAGCCTCTTAGGTTCATGGTTAATAATCATTGATACTGGAGACAATAGCTGAAGTGCTGTTCCTGAACTCCACGCTGGTATGCTTTGCATTAGCACATTGTGTGTGCCTTTTTCCCTATCGCATGCAAACAAATGGCAGAATGCACCATGCTTCTTTGAAATTGTCCCTCCAGTTACGTCAGATAAATTATCCCTTTATCTGACGTAAACAATACAGTGATGTTTACGTGTTGCTATGATTAATGCACTGTTTCCGGGCCCGACCTTGGTCCTTTTTTCATTTAAATAGAAAAATAGTAATGCTATCACTGGGATCAGGATCGGTGCCATTACATCGATAAAGTAACGTTTAGTTTTTAGAAATCTTTAACATTTTGATATTTAGCCGAGGTGGTGCCACTAGTTGCGTTGAGCAGTTGCGAGTGGCACTGGTTGAGGAGATGGCACTGTGGGGTGTAGCATAGAGTCAGGGTACAGCTCTGGGATGGCAATGAGATGCGCTGTGGGGTGGCACCGGTTGGGGGTGCACTGACTCGGGGATGCAGTGCGGGGGAGCTGGAGAGGGCTGTATCTCGCAGCAGCACTGAGCCCGAGCTGTGTGTGTGCCGCAGGTTCTCGGGCCCCGGCCAAGGAGTGGCTGATCAGTCAGGTGTCGATCCGGCGGCCGCTGGCGGTGGGCGAGAACTGGTCCCAGGACGAGCAGAGCAGCTCGCAGACCCAGCTGCGGTTCTCCTACCGGGTGATCTGCAGCGAGCACTACTACGGGGACAGCTGCTCCCGCCTCTGCAAGCGCCGCAACGACACCTTCGGCCACTACGTGTGCGAGCCGGACGGCAGCGTGGCCTGCCTACCGGGCTGGACCGGCGAGTACTGCACCGAGCGTAAGTGACACCGCCCGCCGCTCCGGGCAGGGGGATCCCGACACGCCCCTCCCCTGCACTGCCACAGCGCTCCTTTCCAGGAATCCTATCGGCCCCACCTGAGGGGCGGGGCTGCTGCGTGGGCAGCCGCTGCCGCCTCGCGCCTGTTGCCGGGCTGCCCATAGGTGGTAAAGCTGAAAGCGGCGCGTGCCAGCGCCTGGGGGCGGGGAAGTCCTCGAGCGCTGCTCCGGAGGGTGCAGGGAGCAAAGGGCGCGCGCTAGAGCTAACGCGTGTTGCAGAAACCAACAGGCTGCGAGCTCGGAGCGCGTGGCACTGCCGTGTGCCGGCGCCACAGGGAGTAGTGGCGGGGCGGGGGCGAGCCGCCTTCCTCTAACCCTGGGCTCCCCCCTCCAGCCTCTTCCCAGCCGCGAACCCTCTGGGGCCGGTGATTCAACTCCCAGGGCGGCCATCAGCGCGCCCTCCCCCATGCTGATCCGCGGGGTGATCCTGCGGCTGTTAGCTCCTCTTTCTAGCGGCCAGCCCGCCCCCTCTCGCCCCTAGAGGGAGTATTGACTGGGAAGCGGGGTGATCGTGCCACGCCTCGCTAGCCCCCCATAGCAGAGTCCAGGGAGAGCCTAGTGAAGACAGGTGTAGTTCGCACACGTGCTAGCAGGGCTAGGCGCTAAAGAGAGTTTCTCTCATGCGCTGCCTTGTCTTCATTAGGGTTTAGCCCTGCCTTAGCCCTAGCAGTTGATTAGAACAAACCTTTTTTCCTAGCTGTAGCCAAGGCCTAACAAACAGGTCCTGTCTGCAACCCCATTTACACCGTTAAATAATAGAGCTACACCGAGCCCGGCCTCACACTGACCCCTAGGCTCACAGCACTGGAAAGAAAAAGACGTGCCTAATGAGGCCTTGCCTACAGTGGCTTCCTTCCTCCCCCTCAACACTTTCAGCTTCTTGGTAGTTCTGGTGCAATTCCACAGGTGGCAGCAATGATGAGAGCTAGGGTAGACAGGATAGCAACGTTTTAACCACGGTGGCATCTATATTGTGAGTTGAAATGACAGCAGCTTGCCTGTGCTCATTCTTTCACCACTGCTACCCCCAGAGGAGATGCAATAGTGAGAGGACACGGCCACCTCTTCTTGTTTTTTTCCTCAAGCTTTAAAGAAGCAGGAGGCCATGTTTGTTGTGTAAACAGAAAAACTAAAGGACACCTCTGTTCACAGCAAATGCTGGCTTTCTCTGGTTCACTTCTTTCTGCTCCAAAGATGCCTGTGATCTGAATTTTTAAATGAAAGTTTTAAAGTGTGTTGTAGGTTTCAATATATTTATTAAAAAGCAATTTTTATTTTTTTTAAAGTGTAAACTATATTGCCAGATGTATTTAAATCTTTCTGTTGTGTTTTTTTTTTGTTATAGCCATCTGTCTGTCTGGTTGTACTGAGCAAAATGGATATTGCAACAAGCCAGGAGAGTGCATGTGAGTAGATGATGATCTCAACCTGAACTTGACAGCAACTTTAACCTTTTATAGTAATTAACATTTTAATTATTTTTTTTTCTAGCTGTCGTCCTGGCTGGCAAGGCCGTTATTGTGATGAGTGCATTCCTCATATAGGCTGCCGCCACGGGACTTGTAAAACACAGTGGCAGTGCATATGTGATGAAGGCTGGGGTGGCCTCTTCTGTGACCAAGGTTAGTTTGTGTATTTCATGGTACTGAGCTAAGAAATGTAAAGGCTTGTCTACACAAACATTTAATTCGCTGCAAGCTGGGGTGTGAATCTACCCCCTCACCCCCACTAGCCTCCTTGCAGACTGCTCTAATCCTTGAAAAAATTAGAGTGCTCTAACCAATTGTTAATGTGCCTCAGCAGGGTGCATATGGACAGTTACTCCACAGCAGGTTAGTTAGTGCAGGATAGATTCACCTCCTAGCTTGTCTTGAACTAATTGTTTGTGTAGACAAGCCCTAACCCAGAGCATCTGGACTAAATCTCTTCCAGTGAAATGTCAATAGGCAACAATTTGTTGAAAGTCTCTCTCATGCTAACTGTCATACTTTATTAATAGTATACATGAAAACATAAATTAACTTTTTTTAATTTTGGCTTTTTCTTTAAAAACTGGTTGAAATGCTGAATATGCAGTCTTTTTGCTTGTTCAAACAAGAACTGTAAGTTCAGCTATTTATTAGTAGAAATAAAGCAGTTTACTAACTCCAACAGAAGTAAATACCGCCATTTGAGCCTTCCTTATTTCTACACATGAGGAAGTAAACTCGTCATGAGTCTGGAGTGTGTGAGAAAACTCCTAGAGCAAGCTTGAAAAGCAGAGGTTCTGTTTTAAGGGATACCAGACCACTTTACTTGCTCACCCATTGAATCTCTGAACTTTAGCCAACCGAATGTGTCCTCAAGGCCATAGTTATATCGTTGAAACTGAGATCATAAACTACGGTTGTAAAACAATGTAAATAGCTGCGGAGATGGTTGTGATACGGTTAGGTTTCTTAAGTGTGAATAAGGCAAGGCTTATTGTTAAGTTTGTCAAGGCATGTGTTGTCTTTCACAGGATGTACACTTTTCAACTTGATAAGTGCACATCTAAATCCCATTAAGGCTAATGGGTTTATACACACACACAGGGGAGAGTATACTTAAGGCACTTATACAGTTAAAGGTTTGCCAGGTCTTCCACATTTTGGAGCTTAGATATACTGTGATGGGAGAAATAACAGATTTATTGGTGATTTGGAGAGTTAAATAATCTGTATTCATTCTGCTGACAACAAAATGAAAACCCTCTTAGCTAAAACTCTATTTTTTTGCTGTCTAAAATGTTTGTTTTCACGTTTTGTGCTGTCATATTTTGGCAAATGAGTGGGTTCTATTAGGTTGTCAAAATTTCTAACATTTGTCTTTGCAGATCTCAACTACTGCACCCACCACAAACCATGCAAAAATGGAGCTACTTGTCTGAACACTGGCCAAGGCAGTTACACATGTTCATGCAAACCTGGTTTCACTGGTGTTGACTGTGAACATGAAATCAGCGAGTGTGACAGCAACCCCTGTAGGAATGGTGGTAGTTGCACGGTAAGAGCTAATTTTAAATGGGAAGCCAGTCTGTGAAACAAACACAAGTATTCCTTTTAAAAAATGGCTTGGTAACAACACAATGGGAATCTGATAGTTGACAGGTCCATTACTAAAGCTCTCAGATATCATACTGAACCTTTCCTGGAAGTGTCAGGGGAGGAAGTTTACTATAGGAAGAGATGTATTGCCTAGATCAAAACTAGTCAACTGAGCCTTGCTGGGGAGGCCATTATGAAATCCATGCAAGATGCTGGCCTAGTAAGAGAATAAATATCAAAAATAAACTTCCTCAAACCAAAATGCATACAGAAATGCACTAAAACCTTTTTAGCCATCAATAAAGGAGTAAACCTGCATTACACTAGAGGAGTATAATCTATTAAAACTTCTGTACAACAAGCTTATGCATTTTAGAGCGTTCTGCTGTCTAGTGTTTCAATATATTTGCAGAACCATTCAGTCATTAATTTTACCTGTTGAAAAAGAACAATAGATTATGGATATCAAATGTGCTCTGTATAGTCTGCCTGAAGCCAGTGCATTAAGCCCCGCTGTTCACCCCCAAGGGCTCACAAGGATCACACTCAGAAATAGCAGAGGGTTTCATTACGGTTTACAGGTGGGTCTCTTCATAGAGTAGCTAAATTGGTCCTCACCAGAAATGGGCTGCCATGCAGAGGATGAATGGGCAGCTTGCAACTGTGTTATCAGATACCCCACACAGTGCAGGCCTAAGAGGGCCTTGGGGATCCTATTAAATAAACAGTGGTAAAGTTAGTAGTGTCTTTGTTTAGCTGGCCATTTGGATCCCCACAGTTGCACCTGTTCTGCTTGACTAATTCAGTGATTACCCCTACTCTGAACGTGGCTGTCTAGCAGGGTGGATAAAAATCAATGATTTAAAAAAAAATTGTAAAAATTGGATTTTTTTATTTAAATCAGATTTTTTTTTTATGAAATGCTTTTTGACGAAAAAACTAAGACACATTATAGCTCAAAGATATCTCATCATGGAATAGGGATTATAAATTCTAATTCTATAGTATGAGACAATATATTCATGTAATGTTTAAGAAACATTTTGTAAATGAGTTCCAATAGTTCATGGATTAGGGACCCAATCTTATGGGGTTCCAGGGGCTTCTGTATAAATTATTTAGATTAATCTTTCTATCTACCCAATGGGACTCGGTGCTCAGTCTAGAACAGGGGCGGGCAAACTTTTTGGCCTGAAGGCCGCATCCGGTTTCAGAAATTGTATGGAGGGCCCATTAGGGGAGGTTGTGCCTCCCCAAACAGCCAGGCGTGGCCCGGCCCCCGCCCCTTATCTGACCCCCCCCCGCTTCTCGTCACCTGATGCCCCCCTACCTCATCCACCCCCGCTGCTGTCTGTCCCCTGATCGCCCCCGGACCCCCGCCCCTAACTGCCCCGTGTTGCCCCATCCAACCCTCCCCCCCGGGACCCCTCTGCCATCCAACCACCCCTTCGTCCTGTCCCCGAAACTCCTGCCCCTGACTGCCCCCCCATCCAACCAACCCTTCTCCCTGACCACCCTTCGGAACCCCCGCCCCGTATTCAACCCTCCTGATCCCCACCCCTATCCACACCCCCAACCCCAGACCACCCCCCTGCCCTCTATCCAACCCCCCTCCACCATTCCCTGCCCCCTTACTGCTCTGCCTGGAGCACTGGTGGCTGGCAGCGTGGGCTGCACCACGCAGCACAGAGCACCGAGTCAGGCAGGGCTGCAGCTGCGCTACCCCAGGAGCTTGCAGCCCTGCTGCCCAGAGCATTGCGCTTGCGGCACAGTGAGCTGAGGCTGCGGGGGAAGGGGAACAGCGTGGGAGGGGCTGGGGGATAGCCTCCCTGGCCAGGAGCTCAGGGGCCGGGCACAACGGTCCCGTGGGCCGGATGTGGCCCGCGAGCCATAGTTTGCCCACCGCTGGTCTAGAAGATACCATCAGAGATGCTTAGTTTTTCAGTTCTCAAACTGTGGATTTGTGTCTCCAGAGATAACATGCTTGTTAACAGCAAAAATGTTTTTGAAACAAATAAATAAATAATATAGAGGTGAGAAATAACAGACCTCAACAAATTTGTCCCTCTGCAAATTTGTGTACACAGTCAATCCCTTACCTCTCCCTAAAAGTGCAAAGTTTCAAAAAGTTCAATGAATAGAAGATTGTTGGGGGCGGAATAGATCTGGACAAGGAGAAGAAGTCTGGAGATAAATGTGAGAAGGGAGGGACAGGCAGTAAAAACAAAAGTGAAACTGTTTGAGCAGCATATGCCAGAAGTCTTGAGGTCTTTTTCATTGATTTGAGATCTACCATACCATTCTCTCATTAGAAGGGAAAAGCTATAATGGCAGCAGGCCATAAAAGAGACCCAGTTTGGGAATAAGAACCACTCAAGAAATATATGCTTGCTGATGATGTTTTAAAGAAAGTCACACCAGTGAACTGGTGGAAGTCACTCAGGACCGCCCCGGGGGGGCAAGTGGGCCAATTTTCCCGGGGTCCCGCAGGGACCCCGCGAGCCCTGGCCCGGCAGTGGTCCGGGTCTTTGGCGTCATTTTGGCGGTGGAGGGCCCTTCAGTGCTGCCGAAGATGCGGAGTGACTGAAGGGGCCCCCCCCGCCGCCGAAGACCCGGACCGCCGCCGGGTGAGTACAAGCGCCGCAGCTCCCCTGCTTTGCCCCAGGCCCCCTGAATCCTCTGGGCGGGCCTGAAGTCACTTAATCACTTGGATTCAAAGACTGTTGAAGTGATAATCTCACTTCTAACAGTAGTAGCTTCTTCTGCCGGTGTAGAAAGAATACATTCATTCCAAATTGAGAAATCGTTTGGGATCTGAAAAAGCAGGAAAGCTTGTTTTTCTTTTCCAGATTATGAACAAACAGGAAAATGAAGGTGAAGACAACTGAGTTAGCTGCAGAAGTCAATATTTTAAGTTTCTCATGTTGACCTGGCTGACATAGTCAATTTAATTTTTTTAAAATTCATTTAACTATTTTAGTTAAAAACAATTTTAACAAAAACAAACCTGATTTTAAAAAACTTGAATGTTTAACTAAATTCAAAAATCCATATGCTTGTTTTGTTAAAATATTGTATGTTTGCTGTTGAAAAAAATCCAGAATACATAAAGTTGTTGTTTAGTTAAATAAAACAATTTAAATGTCTGTCAGGTGATGTTCTCCTCTTAATACAGCATGGCAAGAAAATCCTCTAAATATTAATGATTAACCTATTGAATTGGAGAGAGTTCATCTCCCAATGACTTCATAAATATCTGCTTCAATTACCTTTGGTAAATGAAATAACCAAACAATCATTCATTTTTTGATATAGCTGTAAAATTAACCTGAAAAGTTTTCAAAATAAATCACTTTAAAAATGTATAGTGTGTACCTTCTAAAAATGAAACCTACATCTATTTCTGAGTTGTGAAGAATATGTATTAAGGTTATAACAGCCAACAAGAATGCACTTTTATGTAGAAATCCATGATTAAATAGAGTCTTCCTGACTAGTGATTTAACAAATCCACTCTGCTGTCTAGTGACTTAATCCCTCTGAGTCCCATCTGCATTTTTTTCCTCTAAATACTTCACTGGCTGCAGAGAACAATACATTCCCATCAGGTAGATGAGGCGGGATGGAAGAAAGTTTGCTGTTGATCAACAAAGGATACGTGAGAGTAACTGCCTTCGAATGGAGTCAAATAGCAAAAGTCCAATGTTAAGTTTTTAATTTTGCAGGATATGGAGAATGGCTACCATTGCCTATGCCCCCCTGGATACTATGGTGCTCACTGTGAGCATAGTGCCTTGACTTGTGTTGACTCACCTTGTTTTAATGGTGGCACATGCTTGGAAAAGGACCAAGGGGCCAGCTACACTTGCCGTTGCCCTCTCGGCTTTACAGGATCTAACTGTGAAAAGAAAGTGGATAGATGCACAAGCAACCCTTGCGCAAATGGTAAGTCTTCCCATCAGGAGATCCTATGTATCTCTTGATCCTTCACACTTTCAGTGCTAAAGTGATGGAAATCTTTAATTTGATCTCTGGCCCATCCTCTGTGTTATCAGCCTACCTCTCCGATTATATATTCACTTCCTATCCTGGCCTCTCAGAAGGAACCAACTTGTTATGTTGTACGTAAATTACCAGTGCATTAGAGATTGCAGGAGATTTATCAAGGGAAGGAGGAAAGGGGAGAAGTGTGCAGACTAAATGAAACTACCTATATATTAAAGGGACAAGGTGGGTGAGGCAATATCTTGTATTGGACTAACTTCTTTTGGTGAGAGAGATTTTGTCACCCACCTTATCTCTCTATTATCCTGGGACCAACATGTATGCAATGTTTTGTATCCATTATATTAAAAGGACCTGATTATAAATCACAATAGCTTGATTAGGCAACTTGTAGAGCTTTCAAAATATGCATGTTGTGTTTATATAAAACTATTTCCCGCCTGTTGCAGTAATATGAATTGCTTACCGAGGAAGTGACTTAGTGTTCAGGATGACGTCCATTGCTGACTAAACTTTTTATTGTATTTTTTTCCAGGTGGTCATTGCTTTGATTTGGGTCAACTCCGTGTGTGTCGCTGCCGTGCTGGTTTCTCTGGTCAGAAATGTGAGATAAACATCAATGAGTGTGCCAGGAATCCATGTTCTAATGGGGGCTCTTGTCATGACCTGATCAATGACTATACCTGCACCTGCTTGCCAGGCTACACAGGCAGGAACTGTGACATTAAAACCAGAGATGAATGTGCTTCTGGGCCATGCCAGAATGGGGCCACGTGCTATGATGGACTTTATAATGCTAACTTTCTTTGTAACTGTCCTTATGGCTTCATGGGCAGCCGTTGTGAGTTCCCGGTTTATACAGTGCCCGTTCCATATCCTCCTAAACCTGTTCCCTGGATAGCTATATCCATGGGTGTGGGACTGGTGGCTTTGCTTGTATTATTCTGCATGATAGCTATGGTCATCAGACAGATGCGGAGGCACCCAGAGCAGGACTTGGAGACAATGAACAATCTGTCTGATTTCCAGAAGGACAACCTTATTCCAGCTTCCCAGCTCAAAAACACCAATAAAAATAAAGACCTAGAGGTGGACTGTGGGCTGGAAAAATCAAACTACAAACCTAAGAACCATATATTGGACTATAACCTGGTAAAGGATCTGCCAAGCAGAGGGACACAGGAAGATAAATATTATAAAAGTGAAAAGTGTTTAGGAGAGAAGCCTCCCCTCCGATTATATAGGTAAGAGTGCAGTTTTTCCCGGTAATTGTTAAGCCACATCTGTCCAAGGTGCATATGAGAGAAAAGGCAGTTTTTCATTCAGGGAGCAGAAGTGTGGGGGGGAAATAGATGATAGGTGGAGAATCTTCAGATTGGAGCATGATTTTTACTGTCTCTGTCAATTAAACTCTATTTCTGCCCAGGATGCGGCCAGCCTGGGTAATGGATGGGATTGGCAATCAGTCCATTCGTGAAAATAAGTAGAGTCTTTCCTTCCCAACTAGATGATGGAGAGACAAGAACAGATCTATATTGAGATTAAAAATAATTATTTCAGATCTTAATAAAGCAAAGATTAGGACAGCCTTCCCAAGAACATCCTGTTTTGTGGGGATGGGGGGGTTGGAATAAGAACCATATTCCAGCCAAAGAGAGAAAAAGATGGGTTTCCATTGGTTCAGTCTTTTGATATAGGTACAAATCTCTCACTTGGATTTCACATGTGATTTAAATGCTGCATTGTAATGCTGACATTGCAGGAAATGAAAAGGGACAGGAGATGGAGCTGAGTAGTAAATTATTAGACCGGGCACGGTGGAAGTTTAGCAGGACAGTACTGAATCCTCTTTTCAATTGTAACCTCCTGCTCATTGTAGAGAACACCTGAAACAAAGATTGTTACTTGATTCAGGGTATTACCTCATCTTTTTATCCATCTTCCCCTTCCCATTCATCCTCTACCTTCTCATATGGATATTTCTAGAAGACCTTTATAAGGGATTTTATTATCTTCAGAGTCCTTAGATTTTTACTTTGTCTCTGTGTCTCCCTTAGTGAAAAGCCAGAATGTAGGATATCAGCAATATGCTCTCCAAGGGATTCTATGTACCAGTCTGTCTTTGTGATAACAGAGGAGCGGAATGAGTGCGTCATAGCCACCGAGGTAAGTGCACAGTTCCCCAAGACTCTACCTAGGCAGTCATTGATTCAGAGTGACAGGGCAAGTCATCTTTCAGAACTGAAGTCTGAGAGGGTGGCAGTTGTATTGCCGGGATTTCAAGTACCCTCTGCTTTTCATCTATACTATGATCAAAGGCTATGATTGGCGGACCATCAGTGGTACATAGAACTCTTTCTGGTGGCCCACAGCAGCACCAGAACAAACAGAAAATCCAGAGGGGAGATATAGGAAGTAGTCTAACTTATTTCTTTCAGAGGTGCTAAGCTCAGAAGTGAAGTCAATGGGAGCTGAGGGTGCCCAGCACTACTGAAAATCAGATCATAAAAGTTTAATGAGTGGAGGTAGTGGGGCAGTGGTAAATAAGATTACTTTCTTATATACATGGTCCACAAAATGAAAAAGTGATAGATCCTAGACCATAGACATAAAGCTCGGAGAGTCTCCTTTCCCCCCCCCCCCCCGCCACCCAACAGCAAGAGGACATAAGAGAATAATCCAGGGGTGGCATCTGTTCTATGGGAACACAGATATAGCTATGGAGTTCCATCAATAGATGTAAGATAGCTGAATAAGCACCAGTAAGAGTACTGTGAGGCCTGGTCTACACTACCGCTTAAGTCAATGTAAGTCACATCACTCAGGGGTGTGAAAAAAGCACCCCCCTGAGCGACGTAGCTTACATCGATTTAATGCACTGTCTACACCGCACTATGTTGACGGGAAGACACTCCGACCGATTTACTTACCTTCTGCCTCTCGAGGAGGTGGAGTACAGCCATCAACTTATTGCATCTTCACAAGACCTGCTAAATCGATGCTACTGCATCAATCGCAGCAGTGCCGATTGTGTGTGCCAGTGCAGTCAAGTCAGGGAAGGGCACTTAAATCCCTTGCCACATGGGATCCTGTTACTTGTGTAGATTTTGATGTGTTATCTGAGAGGCCAGGGGACAATACAGAAACCGATCAGCGTGGGGTAGTGTTGAGAATTTAAACAAAAGCTGTTAAGGAACTGAATATTTACTGAGGGACTAACAACCATTTGGAAAAAGGCCCAATGAGAAGTTAAGGGCAATTTAATGCCAACTGGTGGCTTTCTTATCTGAAGAAAAACACCTCTACCCCGATTATAACGTGGTAAAGCAGTGCTCCAAGGGGGTGGATCAAAGCAAGTTCGATATAACGCGGTTTCACCTATAACGTGGTAAGATTTTTTTGGCTCCCGAGGACAGCGTTATATCAGGGTAGAGGTGTACCTTGAACTGAGTTTTCTCTATTTCTACTTTTCTGCCTATGTGCCCAGTTTGGTACTGTAGTTTCAGAGGGCCCAGGGGAGGAGAAATCTGCTGTGGCATTAACACTCAGTACAACAGAATTCTAGCTCCTCTAAGATTCCTACTTAAAAGGCAAGCTGAAAAATAGTGGGAATACAAATCAGATAAAATAGAAAGCTTATGGCTAATGGAAAGAATTTTCAAAGGCACATATGGCAGTTAGATGCCTAATTCCTACTAACAATCAGTGGGAGTTAAGCCCTACTTGCTATATGTGCCTTTGAAAATCTCCCCTAATGTTTTCAAACCTGGCTGCCTAAAGTTAAACTCCTAAATCCATATTTGGCATTTAAATAAAAGTGGTCTGGTTTTCAAGAGTGCTGCCTGATGATTTTTAGCACTTTTGAAAGTCTGGTACATTTGGGTTAGGAAGCCTGAACTTAGGCACCTGGATTTGAAAATTTTGACCTAAATTAACTTGCATTCAAACCAGATAATTCACTTGTAGAAAGTGAGACTACTTGAAATAGGGCAGAGCTGTTAGCTACTGATTCTCTGACCTGTGGGAGTCAGTGGGACAGCCTCATCCCCTGGGTAATGATTATTAAGCTGCAGAAACCTCTGGCTTAAATTAGTTTGATTTGGATGTACTTGGTTTATTGATTTGCTTGTTTTGTTTTAAATCTACAATATTCTACACATGGTACCTTCTTCTCAATCCTTTTTAAAATTATTTTATTTCCTGACAGGTATAAAACTGAAGGGTCAGTTTGTATGCACCTCAGATTTGGTGATGCCAGGAGATGGACGTTTCTGTTGCATTGTTTACAATTCAGAACTGGATTGGATTTTTTTTAATTATATGCAACTTGCTGCTCTCAGGAGGAGGCTGGAACTGGGTGAACTGGACAGACTGTGAATTTACCGAAAGATGCAATACACCTTTTTGTTTTTAGTGCCCTTGTTTGACATTTGATACAAGGAATTTAATTGGCTATAGAAAAGAGAGGGGCAGAGGAGAGAAGAATGAAAAAACTGTTGTTTGACTAGCTTTTTAAATGATATTGAGGCCAGTTCCTCATGGACAGACCTGTGACTTTCCAAACTCTAACTCTGAGAGATTCCAGTTGGAGCAGAAGGCACTTGACTATCACTTATATGTGCAGATGTTGCCGTGGGAAACACGCATGAAGAAAAAGATACATTGCTATGCAGATATTGGATACAGAATAAATAAGATCTCAATTTTTTTCTTAGGTTTAAAAGTGCCTAAAGTGTGTCAGAATCTAGGGAGCTCAAACAGACTTGACTGCCTTCTTTTGCAGTACCTGACCAGTATTGGGCAGGGGTGGTTGACACTTCCTGCTGCTCATTTATTTACATCATCTTGGCTCCAGCTGCATTTATTTCAGGCAATTTAACGGGTATGGGGAAGAGGGATACTGAATTTATGTTTCTCTCATTTGATGTTGCTTTGGAGAACTTTGGACTTGAGCAGTAATTTGGGACACAATTCCATCCCTGAAATGATAGCGGACTCTTCCCAATTTAAACTGCTGAGAAGGGGGTTGTGTAATGAATGTTTGTTGCCTCTTTCCCCTCGGTATGAGGAGAGACATAATACCAGCCCTAACTGAAAGCCTTACAAATGCGTTTAAACTCAATCAGCTACTGGAACCTACACATGCTGAGCTATCTCAGCTCTTTTTATGCCCTTTGCACTACCAATGATTGTGAATAGAAGTGAAGTTTTTCTTTTGACAGTTTTTTTTTTTTTTTTTTTTTTTTGGTTCAAGGACTTGGGATTTTGTGTTTTGATTCTGAATCAGGTGCCACCTTCAACTGCAAATAGTCTCAAAGTCCTAGTTGTTACTTTTCAAAGAAGGGGGAGGGGTTTATTTCCCTATCCTTTACTTCCCTGTTGTAGAAACCACCTCTCTTCCCCTACACATACAGTCCTTTCACCCCTGTTCCAAATGCGCAACAGAGAAGCAGCATCTGAGAGGCCCTCTTTAAGGACAGACTCAGAATATAATTTGAAGGCTCTAGGCTTGTCCTCTTTGTTTCTCTCCCGCCCACAGCAACAGGGAAATGGGGAAGCTACTCCTTGAATGCAGAGGTGCAGTTCTGAACTGGTAGGTTCAGTGCACATAGACTATCTTATATATACATTTACAGCAATAATATTTGACAGCCAAGTGGAAAGTGCTGTGACATACTGTAGTGATAAGAAAACTGCAAGGTGGGGCGGAATGGGGAGGGAGGAAACAAGATCTCATACAAGGAAACCTGGGACTATGCTATCTACTACTGTTCCTGACCTTGTAAATCCTAGTATTGGACTAGACCATCTGCTGCCTTGAACTGTGCAGGCAAGGTCCCGTCCTAATGTCCACTACTGACCTTCTGCTCTGACCACAGAGATCATTTTGAAGATGACCTTCAGAAATCAATAATATGGATTTTAGTTTGTCTGTTTGTAGTTTATTTTGAAGTCTCGTATTTCAGTAATTTAAAAAATCAGAAGCACTGAACTTTCTACGTTTTATAACATTATTTTGTATATAATGTATATTTATAATCAAACCAGAAGTGTAAATATGTTTATTACTTCTCATGTAATGTTTTTAATGTGATAAAGTTTGAATTTTATTTTTTTTTTCAAACAATGAAAATACCTTCCTGCTACTATGAAGTTTATGTGGTTTGTCTTTTTACCCTCAGATTTCATGATCCTATGATATACAGCAGGGGTAGGCAACCTAGGGCATGCATGCCGAAGGCAACACGCGAGCTGATTTTCAGTGGCACTCACACTGCCTGGGTCCTGGACGCTGGTCCGGGGGGCTCTGCATTTTAATTTAATTTTAAATGGAGCTTCTTAAACATTTTAAAAATCTTATTTACTTCTTTACATACAACAATAGTTTAGTTATATGTTCTAGACATAGAAAAATACCTTCTAAAAATGTTAAAATGTATTACTGGCACATGAAACCTTAAATTAGAGTGAATAAATGAAGACTTGGCACACCACTTCTGAAAGGTTGCCGACCCCTGATATGCAGGGTAACTTCTTGTCCCAGAAACAAGTTTGACTATCAGCTCTCCACATCCACCCCAAATTTACATCTTATGCAGATTTGCCGTTATCCCACTTTGACTATTTAACTGACATCAGAGAGGTTGTAGTATGGAACTGAGCTGACAGAAAAGTTGCTTTTACTCTAAACTTTTACATCCTTATACAAACTTCTTGCAGATTTTATGTGCTTATAAAGTGGCAGAATTAACTCCTTGGTAAGGTTTGCAGTGCACTTACAGGGTAAGAATTAATCACGGTAGGTCAGTAACACATTTCTTTCAGAAACTCCTTGAGTAAGGACCAAATCTTTACATGTAGGCAACTGGATCTCTTACTGTAGCATACAAGTTTGGCAGTAGTGCATCTACTACATGCATAAACAAATTGTAACGGCAGGAACAGGAAAAAGTTGCTCCTCTCTTCATTACAAGTGCCAAAAAGCATGTTAAATTTTATTCCAAATGACTGTTTAAACTATATATGTATGTTTTTAAACTACACTGTCCATTATCACAAAATTTTTACTATTATTAAACCATTGCAAGTAACTCTTGATGAAACAAATACAGAAAGACCCTTAATGTATAGCAATGCTATTATTGAGTGGTTTGATTTGTGTCTCTTACTAAGCAACGAACTGAAGAGCAGAAGTAGCTTTTAAATCCTACTCAATTTCCTTGGCTACCACTTAAAAACATTCAAGATGGAAAACAAAAATAAAAAGCTCTCTCCTATCCCCAAACAAACATTCACCTTGTAGAGCAAATTATGAAAAACAAGCCATTGACAAAAAGCTGAGCAGATGCTCTCGGCTTGCAGCCCTTCCTTGGCAATGTGAAATAAACCCAACAGATGCCTCTCTTAATTGAACACACGGATTACATACACACATGCACTCTGTCCTGCTTAAAACAAAACACACACAAAATTGAACAGGAAAACAGCCAGAGAGCTCTTCCTACAGCACTAGGCAAGCAGCAATGCAAAGACCAACGAGACCTAGTTTTGCCTGCTCAAAATGAAACAGGAAATAATATCTGTAGGCTGGAGGGAGCTGAATCCATTAAAACCCATGGAACAGATTATGTAGCTCCAAGTGGTAAAATAGGTACAGCACATGCTTTTGTGCATACCCACAAAGGAAAGATGAAAAAGACATGCATCAGATTACAAGGAAAATTGTATGTACATGTTGGAGATACTACCACACAACTCCCAGAGTTGCTCACAGATCCTACGTAGGTAAGACAGGTGTGGTGCATGCATCCACAATGGACAAGAAGGAAAAAAATACATGTGAATCCATGCACATGTACACATCCCAGAGACATTACCAAATAAATTGAAAAGGTGTGGACTGAATACACAATATGACCAGGATTTAACCTGATGTCTTTGGCCAAAAATTCCCCACCCCTACCATGACCTTGCGTAGAGAGTGCTGTGCCTGGGCTGTTTACTCCCATCACTAAGATATGGCTGCATCATAGTTGTGTTGCATGTAGTTTTGAGGTACTTTGAGATGCTTCAGGATGAAAGCTCTAGATCAGGGGTTCTCAAACTTCATTATACCGTGACCCCATTCTGATAACAAAAATTACTAGATGACCTCAGGATGGGGGACCAAAGCCTGAGCTTGCCTGAGCCCTGCCATCTTGGGGAGAGGTAGTAGCTAAAGCCAAAGCCCAAGGACTTCAGACCCAGGCGGGAGGCCTGTAACGTGATCCCTACCACTCAGGGCTGAAGCCCTCAGGCTTTGGTCCCTGGCAGGGGGGCTCAGGCTTTTGGCAGTGACCCTGGGCCCCGGGCTTCAGCTTTGGCTCTGGGCCATAGCAAGCCTAACACCAGCCCTGGCGACCCCATGAAAACGGGGTTGTGACCCACTTTGGGGTCCCGACCCACAGTTTGAGAACCGCTGCTCTATATGAATATAAAATATCCCCAGGAGCACAGAAGAAGCACCAGTACCATAGGTGCAGCAATGTAGCTAGTTTTAGGTTTGCCTGATTCATATGGTGTAACTTCATTAAACAAACATGTACATTTTTCAAACAAAATTTAATAGCCCTATGGACTATGGGTATTACTCCAGGATCATCAACTACAGTCGATTTGTCCCAAGGCCTATATCTAAACTTGTAAGCTTTTAGTTTAAAAGACTGCAAGTATACAGAGAAAACAATATATTTTAAAAACATAAGCACAATATATAGTAGTGTCCTTTTGGTACCAAAAAGAACCTTTTGACATTGTCAGGCCAATTGACTTCATTGGGGCTCCACACGGTGTAGGAGTCTGCCTGAATGGATCCAGTTTCAGGATCTGACCTTACCGCTGAAAATAGTTGGTACGTAAGGGAAACAAATGCTAGGATATACCTCTAACTACCACAATGCTAATGGTGCTGCTACAATATGCAGCAGCACTGCACTTATTCAACTGGAATGCAGGACATGAATTGGATGCAATGTATGGAGGTAATAAAATGTAACTTTGTGCCTCAAAGTGCTATTATGAGAGAGGAGGATGACTATCGAGCAACTGCCACAATCTAACGAATGAACATAGCACTGTAAAAAATAATCACTTTTCAAATGCTATTGCTTAATGTATTTTTGGTTGCTTGGTTGTTAAGGGAGACGTGGAAAGTGACTAATGATACCCATGCCATAAGGGTTATACTGAAAGCTGGCAAAGGGTATATGTTCATTGGCCTGTCAGATTCCTTCCCTTATCTGGTCTGATCCCCAATAAATACATATTAGTTTTCCATAAAAGATAAGCCGCTCCCAATGTATTTTGCTCAGAATCCAAATGCCAGATGTGAAGATGTGACATAACTCAGTGGCCCTTTGCCATGTTCTCTGTTTTCACAGCCTGAATTTTTATAACTTGTCCAGTGTCAAAAGTAAAATGGACACAATTGTAAATAAAGATTTTTCCCCTTCCTCCCTGTCTCAGTTTCACTTTCACTTACCAACATCTAACAAAGTGTTCAAAAGGTCCAGAGACCCTGAGGGCAGATTGCTGCCTGGAGTACTGAGCTCCTCCCCAATCAGTTTTGTGCCCCCTTTGATGTTGTTCCCCAGACTTGGAACAGCATCCCACCTTTTGTCTAGGCACCACCCTCCTTCACATCCATAAAACCACTTCTATTAATCCTCCTAATATTGTCCCTTCTTTTCCCCACCT